AACAATTCATCACATTTGTTGTCTGTTTTTTTTCTATTAGAGTATTCATAATACTTGGTCAATCGAATAATGAACAAATTAAGATTTGCATGATTCAGTAAAATCGAAACTAAATAAACAAGCAATATGTTTTATATACATTTGTAAAGTTTTTTTTTTCTTATGTGTGTTTTGATTGATTAACATGATAATCAAGCATTATTCTAATCTGTTTTTCAAGATTTAATGTTTGTTCTAAATCTGGATGATGCATAGGCAAGATTTGTCTTTGAATATTTAATGCTTTTTGTATTTCATTATTTGCTTGTTCATATTCTTGTCTATCAAGATGCATTGATGCAAGATTATAATAAGATGCTGCTAAATCGGGATGATCCTTCGGTAAAGATTGTAGTCGAATATGAAGTGCAGATTCATAATTTTGTAATGCTTGTTCATATTCAGACGAATTTCCACCTGAAAGATGAGCTAATGTTTGATGAAGACGCCCTAAATTATTTAAACTTGTTGCTAAATCAGGATGTGTTGATGGTAAAGATTTTTGTCTTATATCATACGCTTTGTGTTGATATTTAAGTGCTCGTTTCATATCACCAATATCATCATAAAGACAACCCATATTATTATATGTCCATGCTAAATCAATATCTTGATTTGATGATAAATGCTTATGAATAGATAAAGCACGTTTATATAGATGAAGTGCTAAATCATGTTGACGTTGTCGATGATAAATAGTACCCATTGATATAAGAACAGATGATATGAGTTCGATTGGGATTGGTTCAGTTCTATTTAATGCTTGAAGATAATAATCTAATGCTAGATTATAATCACCTTTCTTTTGATATATATTTCCAATTTTAAATATTATTCGAACAAATTTTTCTGGATTTTCTGATAGACATTCTAGTGATTGTTTATAATATTTTAAAGCTTTTGTAAAATCACATTTCATTTCATATGCAACACCTATATTATCCAGTGTAAAACCAATTTCTTCTTGATAGATATTTTTATTATTTTCATTATTATATAAATCTAATGCTTTCATATAATATTCAATTGCTTTATCATAATTATGTTGATCTAAATATAAAAGTCCCATATTATTGAAACAAATAGGTATTCTCAATTTTTGTTCATGATTCTCATATATTTGTAAAGAACGTTCAAATAAATTTAATGCTTTTTCATATTCATTTAAATGATGATAGATAAGTGCAACATTATTGCAACTATCTGCAATATGTGGATGACTTACTGGTAAAAGCTTTTCACGTATATTTAATGCTTTTAAACAATAATCTAATGCTTGATCATATTGTTTCATATAATAAAAAGCTAAGCCAATACTATTATAATTTGTTGCCATTATTGGATGATCAATAGTTGGTAAATGTATTTCATAAAGTTTCATAGCACGAAATAAATATTTTAATGCACGATTATATTCATGTTTATGTGTATTTATAACACCAATTGCATTATTACTATTAGCTAATAATAATTCTGGTGTTTTTAAATATTGTTTATAAATTTTAACAACATTATAATGAAAATCAAGAGCTAAATCATATTTTTTTTGTTCTAAATAAACTAATCCAAGATTATTCATTGTTCGTGCAAGATCAAGATAATTTATTGGATGTTCTTGTCGTAGAATATTATAAACAGTTTCAAAATATTTTAATGCTTCATTATATAAACCTTTATAAAATTTAACACGACCAATATTTGTATATATTGATATTTTATCATCAGTTGTATTTGATGAAAGTAATTTTTCAAAATAAACTTGTGCTTGATCATATTCTCCCATTTCAGTTAATAATAAACCAAATATAAGTAAAACATTACCTTTTTCCATTTCACGTCTATTTGCTTCAATATATTTTTCAACTATTTGTCGAGCTTCATTTGTCAAATTCATATGTATAGTCCAAATATTTTTACTATCATTAAAATAAACTTCATTGATTTTAAATGCACAACCAATATCAAATAGAACTTCTTCTTCTTCAGGATAAAAACTTAATGATGATATATCAGTAAATATAGCATTATCTAAACGTATATCAGCTTCAATTATAAATAATGTTGGTAGAACATCAACTGAACGTTTAGAAGCTTTTAATGCAAATTCTAATGCTAAATCATAATTACGTGTGGTTGATAAAAAACCATTTGTTGATATTAATGAACCAACATTAGATTGAAAACGAATTAATTCATCTTTAGTTAATTTTAAACCACGATATAATGTTAATATTGGTTGATTTATTTCTTTTGTTCGACATTTTTTATGTTCAACAGCTAAACGTTTACATAAATCTTGAATATAATAACGAAATATATATAATAATTCAATATCTTCAGTTCGTAATGCTTTATTACATAAACGATAAATAAAACATTGTTTTGTATACCAACGTATTGTATCATCATATGTATAATTTTTAATAAAATCATCAATATTTTTTAATTCTTCTGTATTTCCACGATAATATTGTTGACATTGTTCAATCATTTCACATTTAGCTTCTTCAGATCTTGGCATACGAAGAAGAACATCTTTAAATAATTGAAACCAAAGAAATGATGCTGATTCTTTTGATAAATCTCTTGTTGTTTTTTGTTTTTCATATAAACTAAATGTTGATAATTGTTTTTGTAAATAATCTAATTCACTTCGAATAGATTTTATTAAATGATCTTCATTATCAAATATGCCAACTATTTTAGAAAAATATTCTGAATCAATAAATTTATTTTTATATTTTAATACATTCATACAAAATATAAATACTGAATCAACTTGTGATAAATTATGTATTTGCTTAAGACATTGTTCAGCATAATCACCAGATACAATAAGAAATACACGTTCTTTACTTATTGAATGAATATATGTTACACATGGTTCAAGTTCAGTATAAAGTAAAACATAATCAGTTATTTCGCGCAATGTTGTTCGTCTTGTATCAATAGTTTTATCTAACCAAATTAATGTCACATCTTCTTTATTTTCAAATGCATATGATGCTGATTTTGTAATAGCGGTTAAATTTGAAATACGAACAAATTTGCTGCTAGTACTGTTACCCATGAAACATCAATGATGATTTTAAAATGCAAAAGAAATGTAATTTTACGTATTTTTAGTAATATTATCAATTTAGTGAATCAGATTCTCATTATTGAGTAAATATGAAGGACATTAGTACTTTTTTTTTTCTTAATTACGTCAATCAAAGGACGATGATTGGTGAAGATAAATGCACATGATAAACCTATAGAGTATTGAGTGTATTCAAACGGGTTTACAAAGTATCTTTTATACTTTTATTAACTGTAGCCTTTTCTTTTTTTAGTAAAAAAACAATCCATCTGAATTATATAATAACCTATCAAGAATGTATTCTTTTCGTATTTTTTGTTCAATCATATGACTTGAAATAATAATAATAAGATAAAATCCAATGAAGTATTTCTTTATTAAATTATTTCATATTTCTTTCCTTGCATTAAAATCCTTTTTTTTTTTATTCCTTTTACTCTCAATTTCAATTTTATTCAATATTGTTAGTTACAAATAAGTAACGATTGAATAAAAATGTTTAATGCTACCAATTACTGTAGAATTGACTAAGGCCACGTCTCCACAGTTCTTGATCATCTCTATTAAAACAAAAAACAAAAAGTTTTCTTTAAAAACAACTTAAAACATTCTACATTTTAGACTTACTCTATTCGATCAAATTTTTCATTATCCATTGCACGTAAATCTAAAAAAGAAATCTATTCAAATAATTATTAGAAATTTAATTAAAACTTACAATTACATAAACGACTTTTTCGAAACATGCATAAATCGATATTATTAACATGACTTAATGATCTTGTATGACGATCGATTGTTGCTGGAAAAACACTACGACATTGAACAACTTCTAGAAATACGAACCATGAAAAATAAAGAATAAATTTTCTTTTCTATTGACAAAAAAAAAACCTTCATAAACTTACGAAATAAAACGAGTAGTGTAACAAGAAATAAAAATACCAAACGAACCAATTCTTGCATATTGAATAATTGTTTTGTATATATGCTACTAAACTTCGTAAACGAACGTAAGGAACTCTAAGATAGAGAACAACAATTGTGAAATAAATGACTACTTTCTTCAACTCTTATTCGTCTTTCTATCTCTCTCTTCCTCTCTTGTGCTCTTCTTTTTATCCTCTCAATCGTTCAAAAGTCAACAAACCAAAAAAAATAAAATAAAATAAAATAAGAAAACCGATTTATTAGCAAATATGCCTACACATTATTACCTATATACATTAACTTCAATCAATTATTTTATTATTATTTACCATTGAATAGAGAGATATGAATAAATATTAAATAATGAAAATAAGAAAATATACAATAAGAGAAAAAGAAAAAATGCAATCAGATAGTTAAAAGAAGTCCTTCTTCTCTCCCTACTCATGCACATATTTCCATTTTTGTCAAGTGCTAATCAACACGCGCATCCTACATTGTCATAATTGAGATTTTTTTCTTCCTACACACATTTACTATATTTCGATTAGCTGAAAGCAATATATATATTAATATAGACTAACAAAAGCCCACAAATGAATGTTAATTAGCTTTTATATTAATCATAAAATATCACATCAACATTCTCATTATTAGTTCAAATAAGAAAATTCAAATTCTTGAATGTGATAAATATAATTACTTTATAAAAATGAAAGAAAAATAGATTATGCAATAAATGTTAAATTTTATCCAACTTACCTTGACAAAATATAGTATTACATTTCTATATGAATATGGTTATTCTTATTTCAATTAATGATATCGTTATTATATATTAGCAGTCTTTTTATATCTTAAAGATGTAAATTTGCTTCCGATTCTCTATCTTTTGACACAAATAGGTCATCATAATTTATGTTTTTTATAGAGATATAAATTAAAGTATTTATATTTGAAAATAAGATATTACAAGTCTTTGACAAATAGGACATTTATCAATAAGAGAAAAACAATTTTGACATATACAGGCATGTTTACATGGTAATAAAACATGATTAACGCGTTCAGTTAGACAAACAGCGCATACATCATTTGAGACAAAAGCACCTGGTGTATATATATCCTATTTTTATGAAAAAAAAAATTTTATTTTCAATTAATAGAATTGAATATTAAGACTTACATGTAAGACAAGTGATTGTCCATTAGCTAATTTCGATATTCGCATTATAAATTTCGTCGGAGGATCCGTTGGGATCGATGATTTTACATGTAAAGTAGCTACTTGTATTGGCTGAAGAAAAAGATAATAGAAGTTAATGTTTGTTATACAATTATTTACCAATTGAAAAAATTCTTCTGAATCTTCATCAATAAAGCTATGAACAATAATGACTAAAGGATATTCTCGACGTGTGTCATTATTCTGTGTTAAGTAATTCTCAGCATCTGGAAATTTGATATGTTGAATATAATCACCTGCAGTTTGAAAACTAAATAAATAAATTCATTTTTTTTTATTTATTTTTCTTTGTTAAAAACAAAAACTTTTACTTAAATATTTCTTGATGTGCAGAATGATTTTTTAAAAATCGATTTTCATATAGAGATAATCGAAACTCGATTGAATCTAATTCGGAATAAAATTTTTGAATATTTACAAACCAAAAAGCACGTAATTGACAACGAATTTTTGTATCAAGACGAATATAAACACCATCTAATAGAGTAATAAGTTCTTTTTTTCGATCATTTTCAATTTTAATTATCTACCTTTAAGTGTTGATCGATCGTCTTCAATATTAATTCTATATGGACTATCAATTCGACCTACGGGTATATTTCGTGCTGTTTGAGATATTCGTATATCAGTTGTTTCCTCTTGGAAAATATCTCGACGATATATGTAAACAAAAAATAAATAGAAGAAATTAATAAAAAAGCAAACGGAAAATCATTATTCATTTTAAAATACCTGGCAACAAGAACCATCATAATAAATAAAAAAAGTATAAATATATAAGGCAAAATTTCAGCGAAATCGATCATATTGAATGTTAAAAAATGAAAATGAAAAATCTTCAAAGTAGAAATATCTATCATTTTTATTTTTCATAACAAAAAAGAAGAGGCATCGATTAAGTTTCTTCTTCTTTTCTTTTTTTTATCTGCACAAAAAAAAAAACAACAAGTTGAACAAAAAATTATTTTTTGGTCAAAAATATCAAATCATCAGCAATAATACTTGATACATAACGATCTTGACCTGTTTGTTTATCTTTAATTAAATTATGATGAAGACGACCTTGAACATATAATCTATCACCTTGACGAACATATTTTTCAGCATTATCTAATAAACGTGGTTGAAATACAGCAATTCGATGCCAATCAACACGTTGTTTTATTTCTCCACTTGTCGTATTTGTTCCTGCATATTCATTTGTTGCTATATTAAATGTAACTACTTTATGTTTTTCTGTTCCACCAACTTTAGGATCTGCACCAACTCGACCTATTAATTGTATACGATTTAATGATCGTTCACGACCTGTTGATGTTGCTAGATCTTCTGGAACTTCAGTTTCTATTGGTATATCATTCAAAAATGTTGCGTCATCATTACCATTGTTAGGTTGTGTCGACTTTTTTGTATCAGTTGTAGCAATTGTTTTAGTCGTACGAATAAATATAGGTTGAAATGAACGTAAACCAGTTAATTTTATTAAGGACATCTATAGACAGGAAAAAAAGATGAATTTTATTCAAGAACCCTTCTCCACAATTTTATTGTATATGATTAAAATAAAAATAAAATATTCATGCAGTATTATAAATAAAAATAATATATTTATACATATATATTTAATGATTTTTGTTCATTTCTTGATCAATTGTAAACGTAGATGATAAATTGTCATTATTTATTCCTATAATTGATGTTTGTGTTGACGTTGATGGTCGATTCGATGGATTAGATGCATGAAAAATACTATCATCTTCTTGTGGTTCATCAGTATTACTTCTTTTATATTTAAATGTTTTAATAAAATATAAAACACCAGTAAAAGAAAGTAGAGCACCTTAAAAAAGAAACAAATTATTTCATACTAATTAATAAACGTAGGAAGGATGGATACTTCTAGCTTTCAACTACCATCCTGTATGGAGTCTTGTCTAGAAGCAGATTTAATAGTTCGATAGCTTCCCTATAACTACGATTAGTTGTTGTTCTGAATTAAAGTACGTCGGGTTCTACTCTGGACAGAGTGCTGATCTGACACATAGTTCTTAAGTTCCTTATACGCACTAACTAACCACAAGAGCAGATATATGTGTTAGCATACTATCGGACGAGTGATCAGAGATAAATAACGGTAAATGACTTGTCCAGAATCATTCCATGGCTGATGATACCTAAGTTTCTTGTGGATACATGTCGAATAATGTAACTACTCAGTCAAGTCGGTTTGATACATGAAATGTATTTGTATTCTTACCGACTATCTTAACATCCGTTCGTATAATTGGTGAAAGCCATGTTGGTACAAAAAATGGTATTGACAAAGCAACGTAAATGATTGTCTTAAGCCAATTGTCAATAGGAATACAACATAGCCAATAAAAACATGCTTCACTTCTAAATTTTTTTTTAATGTTTATAAGAATATATTCCAATGAATGATAGATATAATGTAGAAAATAAAAAAACCCATTTACCCGAGAAAATAATAAAAATACACTTATGTATAGAACCAACACCACTAATATATCCTTATTTTTTCCAAATATCAATTATTGATAATATATATATGTTTACCGGAAACAACAAATACAACAAGTTATACATTTATCAAGTATCCAAAGAAGCTCCAAATAAGCAAAAACGATTGTCACAATTCTAAAAACAAATGAGTATTTTTCTTTTCTTTTTTATAATTTCTTTTTGTTCGAACAATCAAAATACATACGTAATATATATCCGAAAATTCCACACATCCATTCCTAACCATTCCAAATAAGTCACAAAAGCAAGACCTAAATAAAAAAAAACAATACTAAATTCAATTGACTTCAACTACCTAAGACTAACCGGCAAGTGTTATTAATCCAAAAATTCTTGCTAATGCTGTAATACAATTAAAAATGCATCCTCTCGGTTTATGAGTTCGATAATATTCATCGTCAATCTTCATCTAGAAGAAAGAAATATGTTTGTAAAGATGTTTTATCTAGTTTATTGTATGCAAAAAATAGATAGACAAAAAAAAAACAAAGAAAAAACCAACAACGCCAATACACTATTTGTAGAGAACAAAACAAAAAAAGGAAAAACATAAACATTGACAAAGAAAAAATGGGGTAATATCTTACAAAGAAATAGCAACAGAATTTATTTCATTTTTTTTGCCTACGGTTTTTTTTAAAATCACATGTAGAAGATAGCGTCTAAGTTTATATATGTATGATTTAATAAATCATTAGATGGAACTACAATTGTTTTTTCTATCACCGGAAAAGGCTCGAGAGACAAATAATTAAAGAGAAAGAATAAATAAGTATACACACGATGACTAAAACAAAGCAAAAGCATGCATTTTATTGTATTGTTTCTTTTTTGTATGAATAATATATATATATATATATATCACAGGCCCTTTATTTGTTTTTCATTTGGATACATAAGGAATTTGAACAACACGCATCGCTTGTGGACCCGGTTGAGCGAGTACAAGTTGTCCAGCTGAATTTTGTAAAAATATAGCACCACCTGATTGTTGCATGGCAGCTAACTGTTGAGCTTGAATTTGTGCAGCAAAAACTTGTTGTTGTTGTTGCTGTAATTGTAATTGTTGTATTAAAGCTGCCGATGAATAAGTAACAGGTGGTCGAATAACTTGTACAAGTTGTCCATTATGTTGAATAAACTGAGGTTGCTGTTGTTGTTGTTGTTGTTGGGCTTGTAATAATTGTGCCGTTGGATATTCAATAAAATGTTGAATACCCCCTAGACGAAAAAAAAATTTTTAAAAGACATTTTTTTTTTCGTTTACCTTGAGGTGTTCGTACAGCAACAACACGTGGTTGCTGAACAGCAGTTTGCATAGGCATATATAATGGTTGTGCTGATTGAGCAATCGGTACTAATTGTGGATTAACATTTGTTGCTGTTTGAATCATCATTGACTGTCCATCTTGTGTAAGTACAGTAGCTGTTCCACCTGGTGTTGTTTGACCAGATGTTGAACAACTTTCACCACCACTTGATGCTGCTGAATTTGGTGACATTTGTTGTTGCTGTTGCTGTTGTTGTTGCTGCTGATGTTGTTGTTCAACTGTAAGAGAAGTATTCTCATGATTAGTTGCAATTTGTGAAGTTGCTGCAGATGTCATTTGAAGTTGATAAGTAGCTAATGCTGGACTTGGTGCTGCAACAATAAATGGACCCATTGACTAAATAAAAACAAAAATTGAAAAATTGATTGAAATCAAAATGAATTGTTTTTATTTTTATATGTACAGAAATAGTCGGTGATGACATAATAGGCATTTGAATAATTGGAAGTTCGGCTAAATGTTTTTGAGTTTCACGTTCGTCAATTAATTGTTGTGCTTGTATTTCACTAATTAAACCATGATTTTTAGCTGCATGAATTTCGGCACGATACTAAAACCAAAATGTTTTATTCAAAAAAAAAACGTTTCAGTACAAAAAATAAAATACTTTTAAATCATTGAGCATTTCAATATTTTCCGGATCATCCATATCCGGTGGAGTAAATGAATGTTCTTTATTAGTTTTTTTCTAAATAAAATAAATTAATAATTAGAAAAAACGATTTTTTTTTTCTTTAAAATTTGCCGGTGGGATTATGACTACAGAGCAGAATACATCAAGTTGTCTGCAAAGGTTACGCAGTTGATTTCGCACTGTGTCCGTGAATCTTTTCACCTACTTCATCATACCGAATATCGTGCACTCATGAAGTTTTTATTAGGAAAAAACTGCATTTTACCGAAATCACTAATCAGTCTGGCATGCGTTGAACGATGAAGGAGATTCTTTTGACATACCTGAATCATGCTGAAACACGGTAAGGAAATCTTTTCTTTGTCTAGAGTGATCGAAGTAGACTGGAATAATTCGGACAAAAATGCACGTTCTACACAATACGATAGGTGAAGCAATCCACAAATGCAATACTGGATCAGGTACACAAACTTTCCAGACAACCGGATATGTAGATTTGTAGAGAAAGACTTCCTCTATATAATGATATATGCAGTATCAAGTTCTACAGCACACCATTGACACGTTGATAGATAGTGTCACGTTCAATCATGGTTGTACTGAAGTTGATGCTATCTATAGCCCTGTCAACATTATGCAACGAATCTTGATAATGCATAGAATATACATGAAAACATTTTTAGAATCAGAGTAGTAAATAGATATCCCACTGACTGGTCCGATTAAAGAAAACGCGACCGGTTCCAACTATCGATAGAAAATCTTTTTCTACAAGTCTACATATATTCTTTTCTGTAGTCAAAAATTATCGTAAAACATATGATTGCGTTTACTTCAAATTCTGGTGGTAATTTTGGTCCAATCATTGGTTCATGATCACCATCGATATCATCAGTTTCATTTTTTTTTAATGAATATGCAGGAGTTTGTTGTTTAGTTTTTCCTTTTGCATTCTTTTTCTGTCCCATAGGACGTTGTTGATTTTGATTTATAGTCAAAATAATTGGTTCAGGTTTATTTTCTTCATTTGTTATTGTTGTTGTTGTTGCTGATATTGATGTTGCTGCTGTTTCTTCAGTATTTTCTCCAGTTGTTGAAGGTTTTGGTGTTGCCGCAATGAGTATTCGTGGTTGTTTATTATTAGGTAATTTTCGAGTTGTATTACCTGATGATAAATTATATTTATTACCATTTTTATTTGGTGTTGAACGACGTAAATTATCGTGTGATGGAGCTCGAAGATTACGTGGACCATTACGAGCTCCACGACCACGACGTGCTGCAGCACCACCTCGTCCACCTTTGCCATGATTATTTGATTGTTGTTGATGATTATGATTTGAATGGCGAGTAGATTTTTTATTACGACTTCGTGATCTTGATCGACTACGTGTACTACGTGATGATGTCGAAGAACGTGAACTTCGTGAACTTGATGAACGACGTCTCGAATAAGAACGTGATGAACGGCGACTACTACGACTACTATGATGTCCACGATGATTATCACTTGAACTCGATGATGAACGTGTTGATGAACGAGATGAACCTAAACATATGACAATAAAGATTTTAATCTAAAAAAAAACAATGAAATTCTCAACTAACGTGTTCGTCGACGTCGATATCTGCGATGTGAACGACTTGATGATGAACGTGAACTATCAGATGATGTAGTTGTATTTGATGAACGTGAACTTGATGATGATGAACGACGACGATGGTGACGACGTCGTCGACGACTACTACGTCGCTTTCGTCTTGATGATGATGCTGATGATGATCGAGAACAACGATCATCATCATTATGATCATCATTATCATTATTAGATTTCTTTTCATTTGTTGTTGAAGCAACAGGTTCATCATTTTTAATTTCTTCTGTTTTAACATGTTCTTCAGTTATTATAGATACTGTTGTTGATGTTGCTGGTAATTCAACTGTTGTAATAGATTCTGTTGTTTCACCTAATAAAGATGAAAAAAAAAAGAAACAATTAATGTGAATTTTTATTTTTTTTTGTTTTGTTTAGTTAAAGTTTAAATCAAATAAAATGATGAACAAAAAAAAAACAACAAATTGCGCGCTCGCGTGTATATATGTGTAAGATGGATGTTGGCATTGCATGCGTCAGAAAAGCAAAGAGCTTAGCTGCTATAGCGGCGGCAATGGCGACCAAAAGTAGATTACATAACGATGTAAACAGCAATAGAGAAAGAGGGACAAGAAGAAAAGAAAATGATATGAGATCTCTTGCCTTAACAAATAAATTCGTCGAATGTAGCCTATAGAGAAGTGAGAGCATTCAAGCAGAGCTCGAAGATATATATAAATTTGGTGCATAAACTTATTGAAAAATGTCTTAGCTTAATTTCATTTGAAAAACAAAAATTTTAAATTTTTTTATATACTGAAATTTTGGAAAGCAATTCCGTTTTTTGAGTCTTTAAATAATAAAATAAAAAACATGAAGTATTTTCTGTCTCCACATACTTTCTGATTTTTTTTGTTTTTTTGTTCGATTTTTTTTATCATTTTCATCACCCGATGATGCTGAATGTGAACTCATTGTTGAATCATTTGGTTTGTGTAAACGTTTCTTTTTTGTTGAATTCATTAATGGAACTATTTCTTCATCATTATTATTAATATCATTTGATACAGGTGATGTTTTAAGTGGCAGATTTTGTGTACGATTAAGTTTAAAATGTATAGGTCCTGATATACTTCCTGTATTATTCATTCGACATATACGTTCAATTTGTTCATCTTCTTCACTTTCATTACTTGATTGGTCTGAATTATTCATTGTTAATTTAGATGATGTTGCATCAAGTAATGCTAATTGTTCTTCAAATTTTTTCTTAGCTAAATCTTCAGCATTAGTTATATTTGTTGTTGATGTTGGTGAAAGTTTCGTATTATCATTATTTGTATTGATTAATTTTGTTGTTCGTGCAACAGATGTTGGTACAAGTTGTTCAATTGTTGTTAAACGTGAACGAGAACCTTGACGTAAAATTGTTGGCATAACTGGTGGTGGTGAATGTGATAATGATATATTAGTTTTTACAATTGAACTACTTGTTGTTATGTTATCATCAAGATCATCGTATAAATTCGAAATAGGTGGTGGTGGGGGTGGTGGAGGTGGTTGTTGTGCTTTATCATCAGATGGTGGTAGTGGTGGAGGATCAATAATTTTTTCATGTTTTTCATTTTGATTTTTCTTCGATTTATGTTGTTTCTTTTTATGTTTTCGAAATTTTTCTAAACAAAAAAGGAACAATTTATTCGAAATAAATTTTCTTTTTTTGTTTTGATAAAATATTACCTTCGTGATTTTTTGAGATCGATTTCGAATTCTAAAAAATAATAAATATAAATATGTTATACATGTTTAATTGGAAGAAAAAAAAAGCAACGAAAAACCTCTACTTTGAATAAATCTTTAGTTAGCTAAAAAAAAATCAAACAAAATCAGATCTATCAAGAAAACAAATATTATCAGAAGTAAACTCTTCATTAGAGAAATAAAAGCAAAATAAATATACGTAATTTAAGTCAATGAAATTCTAATTTTATCTTATGAAAAAACATTAAGTCATTTATAATATTAATTAAAAACTTACATTTTTCGATTTTTTTGATAATTTATCATTTGTTGTTGGTGACGATTCTATTACAAATAGACAAAAAAAACATATAAGTAACTGCTTTTTTAATATGTGTATAAGATCCAATATGAATCGATCGGGGAAAATAGTTGCGCGAGCATACAGTTTTAGCTAGACTAAAAAAAATGCATTGTGTTATGGCACAGAGAAGAGAGAGATATATATATAGATATATAGACAAAAAAAAATACCTCTTTTTTATTCTCCTGAAAAACAAAAGAAAATTACAAAAACAGATCACAACAATCGTCTATAAAATAAAATAACACACAAAACACATTTGATAGAGAGAGAGAGAGATAGAGATGAAATAGCTGCGTCTGTTTTTTATTTTATATTTACGAGAAGATAAAAAATAAATAAAAGAAAAAGAAAAACATAATTATGCATGCAAATAAGAAGCAAGCTAAGGACAATAGGTTAACGTGCATATTGATTTTATTATAATTAGTAATTTACTGTATTTTAATTAAGGTGCATAATATAACACGATTACCTCACCGTTTTGTTCTCTGCTTTTTTATATTTAACGATGGTCAGTGTTTCTGCTGGCTACAAGCATATAGAAATAGCGATAGGAGGCAAACAAAAAAAACAAAAAGAATATTCACAACAAATAAAGCCAAAGAAATGAGTACATTAAATTTCTTTTATTTTATTATTATCATTATTTTTTTTAAATACTTTTTATGAACAGAAAGAAAAAAAATATATATATTATTTATAAAAAATAAATAATAATGATTTTTTTTACCTCTTGTATATGTATATCTTCAAAGACTAAAGTTGGTAAAAAAAATAGAGGATTGATCATTTCGAATTTTAAAAAAAAAGAACAAAAACAAAGATTTAATTCAAAGAAGGCTACATGTGATACAGTGCAGCAAAATAACACAATCAAATATTTAACTAAGTAAATAAAGTATTTTCGTGCAAATGCAGAAAAAAAAAGTAATAATACAAGCAATCATCATGCAAAAGAGCAGCAAGAATGATACAATATATTGTCATATAATCAACCAACCAACCAATATATGAAAAGAATATTTATCTGTATATGTATATATAAATGATGAGCACCTGTTCATAAAGAGAAAAGTTCTTTCCTACAATAATAGAGAGAAACAAAAATGTCTTTGCTCGTTTGATGTTTTCTGTTGATAATTTAAAAGCTTTATAATAAACAATCTCACAAAACTTGCCTATCCGAAGAGCAAAGCATACAAACACACAGATTTTTCACAAAAGCATAAGGAAAAGAAGAAGCATGGTTTTTGTTAGTATAGGAAATTTGAGGCGGTTACTGATCTGCTGGACGACATATTTGACAATTGACCATTGTGGAAGAAGATGATGATGATGATGGCTGATTCCATGAATAGAAAACAAAAATAGAATATGTATATATATAAACATCTGAGCATGCACAATTACATCGTGTTCAAAGTAAGCAGTAGTAAATAGCAGCAGCAAAAGAAAACAGAATAAACAAAGCATAGATATATAGAGAACATGCAAAGAAGATCAACAAATAAGTGATAGAATACACACACGCCATAATGTGAATAGTTATTATGTGTTAGTTTAATAGAATAGATAGTTGGGGATTTTTTTTTTCGTTTTAAACTGTTGATTAATCTGTTGTTTTTGCTGTTTTGTTGGGCAAATCTACGCGCGCACAACACCCACGAACAACAATAACAACAATAATAACAACATAAATAGAAAAAATGAAGAAAAATATATGAAATCCTAAATCTCTCTCTCCTCCAGCCTGTTTTTTTTTGTTCGTTTTTTACACGCCAAGCATCATCATCCTAATATTTTATCTTGTTTCATTTTGTTTTGAAATATATTAACTTACGGTATATAAGAAATCTCAACTGTCTTCTTCATCTTCATCTGTATATTTATGAACAGAAAAAGAGAAAAAAGAACGAGAAGAGAAAGGAGGCATATTACCTTCTTTTTTTCAAACATGATCACTAGAATAGAGCAGGCATCAACAACATCGGTATATAACTTTAATTTTCAAATAGAGAGATAAAATGTGTATTTTTTTTCTCTCTCTCTATTTAATTTATAAAAAAAGAAAAAGTTTACAAATCCGATGTTCTTTCCATTTTTTTTTTAATAAATTCATATGAACTTAAAGGTATTATTTTACCTTTCGATGTCGATGAAGATGCAACAACAACTGTTGGACGTATACTTGAATTGCTTGTTACAGAAGCCATTGCTTTTATTTCTATTGATTAAATCAAGAAAAAAAGAACTAAATAGCTTTTTTTAATGAAAATTTTGTTTTAATCATACGTAATCGACGTATCAAACAAACAAATTAAAACCGATACACAAATTTTTATTCTCTGAAAGAAATAAACAAGGAAAGTTATGATAACAATTTATTATTAGTTTTTTTTTTTATTTACGAAAGATTTATTAAAGGAAGTCCAATAAGAATATACATACACAATAAATTTTAGTTGATGATTTCAAAAAAGGAAAAACAACATGAATGACAGAAGAAAAAAACAACAACCTTGTATCATATGTTTACCATACACAAAACACTTAAACCTCTTTCTTGTTTATTTGCTTTTAATAGTAGAAAAAAACTAGTAACGACATCTACATCACTGAAATGATACTTTCACAACAAAATTTATACTGACTATTTTGATAATAGAAAAAGAATTTTGAATTTCATTTGCATTTTAATTTAAAATTATGATATTTTGTTTAATTACTTCAAATTTTCGAACATATTATTGAATAAGCAATGAGTGAAGAGAGAATTTTAGAAGTAGTGTATCTTGTTTCAATGATAGAACATGTTTTTTGGTCCCCAAGACTACGAATATTGTTCTTATAGGTTAAAGAAAGAAACATATTTTATTGTTTGCAATATGGGCTATCCAGTATGCCATTTTAATGCATCAAATTTTCTATTAATTTGAAAAGAATAGAGTGGGTACATTAAGGTTGACTGCAACATATTTGATAGAGTATCCATGAATTGACTCTTTGAAGTATCTCTTGAATTTTATCGAACGTTTTATTTTCAAGGACTTAGGTTATTTACCAGTATATTGTTAAAGCATTTTCTTCTATTAAATTTTATATTCTAAGTTCAATGAAAATTTTATATAGGCGTTCATCGTTATTTCATTGTCCTTTTCGTTTTTGCCCGCTGTGTTCTCTAGGGACAAACAATATCCGTTCCGACCAAAAAAAGAAAACAAAAAAAAAATAAAATAAAGAAAACGAAAGAAATTGAAGAAAGAGGAACGGAAGAAATATGTTTCATATGTTGCATGGTAGAATTTTTTTTGTTTTATCAACAATACTGACAGGTGAGAACGACTGTTGAAATCATAAAAAAAGGAATCAGCATCATCTCCTACCATGTGTCGATGGGGATGTTACAATTATGAATCCGTAAGACGATCTATGAATTACTTAATCTTGCTTTAATTAAGATAATGTCGGTATTTTACAGACATATATGTGTAAATTTTGTGGTACACGTTTTTGTTCCGAATGTCTTCATGGTGACTTTTATGGATTAATGAAAGCTCCTGATCATTGTCGTAAATGCAATCAAGTAAAAATATTTTGATTGAAATTCTTTTTTTTTTCGAACATTTCTAATATTTATTTTAGATGAAATGTCAAGGAAAACGTGTTGAAGTTGTTGTATTTGCACCTGGTACTGAGCCGAAAGCACCAAAAAAATCGAGCAAAGGTGGAAAAGGTTCAAGCAAAGGCAATGCATCAGGAGGCAAAAAATCAAAAAAGAAGAAATGATTAATATAAGACGGAAAAACAAAGACAAAACAAAAGAAAAAAAAATCATTTTTATGTTATGTCATTTTTTATTTTGCTTTTTTTCTTATTCAAATTTATAACAAAACAAAGATGAACATACAATGATATCAAATTACACATTATTCTATATGCATTTTTAGCTAATTTTCTCATTATAAAATAAGAAGACATGACAATGTCTTAGAATTTGACTGTCTAATCAAAAAAGCAAATCACTTCGCTTCAGTGACAACTAGAATATTAATGAGAAACAAAAAGAGATTCAGATAGCAAAAGACAGAGAGAAACAAATGTAAATTATGACTAACATACTATCAGAATACGAACATTTATTTCAAACCAAAAAGAAATCCATCACTTCTTTTAGCTCAGTAACAATAGACAACATCGAAAAAAAAATATATGAATAGATTTGACTGATCTTGATTTATGCATATTTTTTTGAAAAGGCTTCTTCCAAAGTGACAAGAAAATATTACAATCTTCTGTCATTCTTGTTTTTATTACTGTCGAGTTTCATATTTAACAGTTACTAAAAAAAAGCAAAACTGTCATTGGTTATCATTTGATAAAAAAAACACGAAGCAATCTATCTGATCGTACATTTTCTTATTGTCCGGCAATCATTCAGACAGTTAATATCGGTGCAAGTGTCGCCAGTGCGCGGCCTGCTTGCGAAAATCGACATCGTTCTGCTCGGCTTTCAATGAGTTCAACGATATCTGGACGTCCATCAATGCCTTTAGTAACAAATAAAAAATCTTCTTCAACTAATAATGGTTCAACATCAACTACAGACACAAAACGAGCGACATCAATTGAAGGTATTGTTGATACCGCTATACCAAAACTTAAAAAAGAATCATCAAGTGGTTTCAATTATCAAAGTTTGACTGAATCAACACCATTAAATGTACCAAAAACAAAAACAAAAAGAAAATTACCTGTACGTTCACATAGTTCAACAAATGTTGAACTTAGTTATCATTTACCTCAATTGAAAAATATCGGAAAACGAAAACCAACAACTAGTGGTGATGATCGAAATAATAATAATGAAGAACGTATACATTTAACATCATCAAACCTTAAAGTTGAATGTGATGATAATAGAACAGAAACATCTGTACATAAAACAATGGAAGTTGAAAAAGTAGAATTGCCTATGTCATGGAAACCAGCTAAAAAACAAATTACTATTGAAAGAGATTCATGGGATCATAAAATCGAATTTCTTCTTGCTGTTATTGGTTATGCGGTTGATTTGGGTAAGATTTATCTTTCGAATATTTCAAGTTATTAATAGATTGTTTTTTAAATTAAGGTAATGTTTGGCGCTTTCCGACAGCTGTTTACTTGAATGGTGGTGGAGCTTTTTTCATACCATATTTTACTCTTTTAATATTCGGTGGATTACCTCTGTTCTAGTATGTTTAGTTTTCTTTTTTTATTCTAAAAATCTTATTATGAATTTGCTTTTATTGAATAGTATGGAACTTGCTCTTGGTCAATATCATCGATCAGGCGTTTTCACCGTTTGGAACTATGTAAGTTTCTTTTATGTGAAACATGATCTAAAAGAAGTATTGTAGTATATTGGGTAGAAATTTACAGCCTCCCTCCTCCGTCATAGTGAACAGAAAAACGAGGTCTACGCTTCGTACTTGATACTGATTATATGTACTTATCTAGTCCCTTTTACTCATACGATTTATGAATAATCGATTTTTTTACTGAATTTCTCAACAGAGCCACGTAGGCATTCTCAGATTACAGTGAAAGTTGATGCTTGAGATTTCACTTGAAATTTTGTACAAATTATTTTCTCAATGTAACTAATTAGTTCATTGTGAAATTTGCAATTTTTCTCGATGCTTTTGTTTTATGATACGAATATGAACAGAAAAGTTGCTTTTTACACAATAGAATTTTGAATATGCGTATCTCACAATGAACTAGCCACATTGAGAACACTATTTATGCTAAGTTTCAAGTATAGAAGCTCCAATGCCAGCTACAACTTAGAAATCGATTTTATTTTCTTGTTGTCTACTATGTTTCCTACAGATTACGACAGATATTATCATAGAAACGTCACAGACGAGATTAGAGTATTCTAAGAGTCATTAGATCTATCTATAAACAAAATTTGAGATCAAAATTCCGTAATATAATTTTTCAGAGACTATTACAAGTGAACTGAGAATCCAGTAAACCTTTCATAATCGCTTTCAAAGGCCCCTGGGAACGAGCCTTTATGCATTTTTGCATGAGCTCAAACGGTGGATATCAGTTCTAGTAGTTTCGTCGTTAGCAACGTCTCCGTTCTCTGTCACAGACACTTTAGCAACACTTCCCTCTCAGCTTCATCGAATCGTGACAGATCTTGTTGATATGTGACCAAAAACCGTATATTAATAACGTGTCGTTCTAAATAAAATAATCTTTCTCTGATTAGCAACAGGGCCTACATCATATTTCAAATTTTAAATCTGCAAGCATTGCTCAAAAAGCTATTTTTGTTTTATGATGAAATATTGTATTGAAGAATTTATTTTTCATTGGTAGATTTGTCCATTGGTAAAAGGAGTTGGTTGGGCAACACTATTAATTAATTTTATGATGGCTATGTTTTACAATACAATAATTTCATGGGCTGTTTTTTATTTGGTTAAATCATTTAATAGTATTGGATCTGAATTGCCATGGAAACATTGTGGTCATTCATGGAATACAAATTGTTGTGTAGCAGCTGATATAACAGAATATAAAAATAACTTACAATCAGTTAATACTGCAAACCAAATGTCTACTAAAACGATGATTAATACATCATCTTTACTAGCACAATCAGCACAATATTGTAACCGATCTGTTTATTCAACTGAAGAATATTTTTAGTAAATTTTAGATTAGATTTCTATTTCATAAAAAAAAATTATTTTTTTTTAAGTCGACGACTTCAAGAAGTAGATAAAGCCGATGGATTTAATAATTTAGGCAAAATTAAATGGGAACTTGCTCTATATCTATTTATTGTCTTTGTTATTGTCTATTTTGCACTTTGGAAAGGAATTAAAAGTTCTGGAAAAGTAATTTTATATTAATTAATACATAATAATGATGTGTCTTATTTCATATTTCTTTTTGTTTGTTGTTTATTAGGCCGTATGGATTACTGCTATAGCACCATATATTGTTCTATTGATATTATTAGTTCGTGGTGTTACTCTATCAGGTGCATCAATTGGAATTGAATATTATCTTAAACCTAAATTGAATTTATTAAAAAGTTTTACTGTAAAATAAAATTATTGCTATCAAATGAATATTATATTGTATTTTATTTTATTTATAGATTTGGAATGCAGCAGCAACGCAAATATTTTTTTCACTTGGACCAGGCTTTGGTGTTCTATTAGCTTTATCATCATATAATAAATTTCATAATAATTGCTATAGGTAAATAAATCTTATTTTCTTTTTCGTATGATGCGTTATTATATTGTCTCTAGAGATGCATTAGTAACTAGTACAATTAATTGTGCTACATCACTTCTAGCTGGTTTTGTTGTCTTTTCAACACTTGGCCATATGGCTAGTGTATCAGGCAAAACAATTGAACAAGTTATTGCAGATCAAGGTGAATTTAAATATTCAGAAAATTGAATAAATTATTATTTGAAATATTAGGTTCGGAACTTGTCTTTATTGTTTATCCACATACAATTGCATTAATGAAGTGGTCATCATTATGGTCAATTCTTTTCTTTTTTATGTTGATCACTTTAGGCATTGATAGTACAGTAAGAGTTTTGATTCTTTTCAATGTTGAACAAGTGACTATTTTATTGAATTTAGTTTGGTGGTCTTGAATCAATAATTACTGGTTTATGTGATGAATTTCCAAATATACTCGGACGTCATCGATCTTTATTTGTATTAGGTGTTCTTGTCATATGCTATTTAGGTGCATTGCCAACATGTACGTATGGAGGTGATTATATTGTTAATTTAATGAATGAAATAGCTGTGGCTCCTGNGACGGACGGACACACTGACTATTCTATAGTCTACTCACTTTTTGAGTACACAAAACTATGATTCGGTTCAAAACTAATATCAGATTCAGAATCAGCGTTAAAAACTGAGTCGGTTTATATATGTTGTGAATAATTCGGAGAAAAAAATTTTTTTTTGAAAAAATCCCTGTACCCCACCTCAAGGATGGTCTGGTCAAAAATCACAATTTTTTCGATAACTCAGCCATTTCTTGGCGGATCCTTTTCATCTTCGAACTCGACCGAGATATTGTCAAGACTAAACTGTGGAGAAAATTTCATCGCAATCTGACTCTCCTTTCGAAAGTTATCGTGTAAACGGCCGGCCGGACGGACGGCCGGACGGACACACAGACCGATTTTAGTAGTGTACTCACTTTTTGAGTACACAAAAAGGCTATTGAAAGCACTTAATAGTCACTTTTTTGGGGCAACATTTTTACAAGGACACGTATTATTTCTCGGATTATAATGATGGATTAACTCTGTTTAAAAAAGAAATAATTTATCAATAAATTTACATTTTGGTTTTTTCTACCGATGAGCTTTCATTCCAAGTCGATCGATTAATAAGCTTTCGAAGAATAGTAATAGACTAACATGATGTTGGATAAGTGGATATCAGCAAGCACAATTTCAGTTAAACTTAGTCATGATCCAACTGCTATTACATCATCTTTTTCAATCTTCAAGCAATATTAAAAATTAAATTAAAGTTTGATAAGTTATGTTTTTTACCAAATTAAAACTTGTATCTTGACGTTGTAATTCAGAAAATGCTGGTAAGGACATGTTGAAAATAGTTCATTGGAATATTAGTTAAAAATAAAATAAAAGATGAAGAAGAAGATGCATTTTCATAAAATTATTAACTTTTCTTTTCGTTTCATTGCTGCTTTGGAATATTCTAGAACAATTTGATGATCTTGAAGAACTTTTAAAAATGGAATTGTAAGACGTTGATTATGTTGTAAATGCAGACGTTTAAGACTAAACAAAATTTTTGAATTATTTGTATTTAGTTTTGATTTTTTTTAAACATGATAAATAAACAAAAATTTCATCTTCAATCAATTTATTATGGTCAAGATAGTGTACTATTTCCGCCTATAAAAAGAAAGTTTTCTAAAGTTTACTGTACGGTATTAAAGTATTATTGCCATAACTATTGGACTGCCCTTAGTATATGTTTACATAGTCAATTAACAACTTATTAAAATCTATGAAAAGATATCTTTATCAAAAATATGTTTAAAATAAATATTTTTATTCAATAAACACGTTTTATTTTATTTCTTTAAAGTAAAATATAAATAATAACGGGAATAGAACTAATCAATTGAAATGAACTTCAACTTGTCCGGCTAATTCTGCTACTGGAACAGTGAATGTACTACCGTTTCAGTACACTTTATTCTTCTCATAAGTTTTATACGATTGACTAGAAAAACCGTGAGCAACATCTTATTTTGTTTCTTAAACTAGGTTCGACCAATTTACTTTTAATTTTTTCTTTTTCTACTTGGTTCACTTCTATGTCTGTCAAAATAACATATGATTCAAACTGGACAAAAACCACTAGTAAACCGTTGGTATTATGTGTGGCTATATCGATAGTTGTTCTCCGATCGGCAATCTACTACTACAATATAAGTGGTAGCGCGAACAAACTTGCAATATGGGACGTCTTTCTAGACATTTATTCAAAATTTATGAAAATAAAATACATTGAAATCATAATACACTTACTATTCCGATAGCACAGTTAGTCGAACAAACATATATACCTGTTCAAGAAAGTTTCATTTGATTGTCAACATATAGCAAATATTTTCATCTCATTCGAGAATGAATTTCCTAAGGCATACACATGATGATGATGCTAGGAATCTTAGAAAACAAACATTTGATTATTTTGATAAGCATATATTATAAATTTATTATAAAATATTTGTCCTAATTTTCACACAAATATGAATAATTTCAAGGAACAAGATTCCAGATAAATTTATTTTATATCTTAAAGCAATATTTATTTATGTTTTTTGCAAAACAAAAAAAAAACAAACAAAGTGGATATATTATACTTTATCATAATGGACTTAAGACCAGAAAAAAAAGAATTATTGCATAGCCGACTATACTTATATATTTTATCAGGCAAAAGAAAAACTTCTTTTTATCGTATTCATAATAAACATTATTAAAAAAATTGACGAACACACTCATACAAATATCAATAATATGTACATAAAGAAAAAAAAAGAATTCGATTGGAATGTATACATATATATGATATGAAGAAATAACAATGACTACAAAGGAAAAAGAAAAAGATTCACAATTTTAACACGGATGGTGTTTTTTGTAAATGAGAATCTCTATGTGTATCATGTAAACGATAGAATTCATCATCATCATCATCACTTAAACCTCCATTTTGATTTGTACTATTGCTTAAATTAGTTTTATTTTTATTTAATAGTGGACTTTTTGTTGATGATGATGACATTGCACGTTTTAAATTAAATGTATCATTTTGTGGTCGAACAGTTATTATTAAATTATGACTATTTGCTACCATCATATCCGTAACTTGATCTAATGTTTTCCCACTAACTTCAATACCATTAACTTCAATTATTTCATCGCCAACAGATAATAAACCAGTTGATTCAGCTAAACCACCAGCTAATAAACGTGATATAAATACACCGGGTACATTTTCAACACCATTAGGACCATATTTAATAGCTACACCATCACGAATGTAAAATCCAAGTGGTTTACTTTCTTTATAACGATGTAATTTAACACGACGATATGTAACAGGTAAAATTTCAACATCAATTATTGATGATACAAGACGAAAATCTGGTTGAACTTCAATATTACGTTGTGGTGAATGACTATTTTTATCTGATGATGGGTGAATTAATGACGATATTTGATCAGATATTTTTTTTCGTTTTCTTAATGAATCTGTTGCATATTGATACGATTCACCTAGACATCGAAATAAAATTTAATGATATATCAAGATGAATTTCTTATCATCAATAAAGTTGCTAATCAAATTCAAATAAATGATTAAACAAAAAATCGACAATTTTTACAACAGGAAAACTTTTTTTCTTATTCTAGTTCTATACTTAGATAGTATTTTGTTAATAATTATCTTAATATAATTTTCTATCACTGTCGATTCTTTCTTGAATCATTTTATATAAAAAATATTCTCGTACGACGAGATCAGTCGTTATGGATCATTATAAACGTCATGCAATAAGTCTATCTTTAAAAAGGAAGAATCCTACTTTTGTCCGTGTTTAATAATTCTTGATATAACATAGATATTCTTGAAGTATGATTCTTGTCTTTCTAAAGATCGATACAGTACCCAAAGGTGTAACTTAGCACTGAAAGCAAAAAGACACAGAGAAGTGTTCTGCAAAAATACTTTCACAGTCACAGTATGGTTTTCAAATTTTTATTTTGTTATTTCTAAAATTCGATCTATTGCTCTAAGAATACGTTTGTTTGTTGCGGATAATGATGAAAAGAAACTCAATCTTGATGTCAAATATCATGATTTTGATAATTCATTTTCCTCTTCATGTATTCATTTACTTCATCATATGATTGATCAGCATCTATCAATTTTGATGCAGAATACTAGCACAGGGTCTCAAAAAAAACAACATTTCTTTTACCTTTTCGTTGTACAAATATTCTTAATATACCAGAATAAACACGTAAAATATGTTCAATAATAGTATCATTATTTATCGAAAGTAATTCTCCATCTTTATCTAAATAAGTTACATGCAATGATATGTTTTGTAAGCCATGTAAATCTTCAATTAATTTATAAAAATCATCAAATTTAATTGGATTTTTTCTATCTAATTCAAATCGACGAAATTCAGCACCAAACTTTAGATAAACAAAAGAAAAACAACGAAAACATCTAATTAACATTATAGAAAAAAAAATAATAACATCATTCATACTTTGCTTTTAATTTCAAGTAAAGACAACATTATCGAAACTAAATAAAAACCATAAATGATCATGTTTGTTAACGCAGAACAAATAAATATTTGTTCTGTTTTATTATTGGTAGACATAATCGATAGACATATAGCGACAAATCATTCGAAAACAAATCATAAAATATTGAATGAATCATTTCAAAGAAGAACAATATCTTTTTACATCTTTTTTTTTTTTATATTAATTTCTGACCATGTCTCCTTCGGTTCTTTTACCTTATATTTATGGATTAGATTTATCAAAAAATGAATTTGGAGTATGAAAATAAAGTTATATGCTTTCTTTTTGTTTCTCATCATTAATATTATATTTAGAATGATCAACAATTTCCAATATCATTACAAGAAATGTGTAATTTACGTTGGCTTCAATTAAATCGTACAAATGTTAATCGTTTACCAGAATTTATCGGCAAACTTAAATCACTTGTATATTTTATGTTATTTTTTCAATTAAATATTTTTATTTTGTTTTTATGTTTCTAGGAAAAATTAAGTTTATCACATAACAATTTACGTGATGCACCATTTTGTTTAAATAAATTAACATCATTACGTTCATTATCATTACGAGATAATCATGTATCACATACACAAATATCAGCACGTTTATTTGATAATCCAGATTTATCAATACTTGATTTAAGTCATAATAATTTACAAGCATTTCCTAAAGATATTGAAAATGCTAAAGGTCTTATTGTACTTAATCTTTCATCAAATCAGTATGTTTTCTAAAACAAAAAATTCAATCGTATGAAAATTTATTTTTTTAGAATTGAACAAATTCCTAATCATGTATTTGTATCACTTTTTGAATTAGTTCATCTTAATTTAAGTGATAATAAAATTGGTAAAAATATTTGTTATTTTTTGTTTCTATAAAAGAATATAAATTATATTTTAGACACATTACCAGCACAAATGCGTCGCTTGACATCATTACAAGTGTTAATATTAAATAATAATCCTCTTATTCATGCACAAT